AGCCTACGCCGTCGCCGGCGACTCACGGCAGCCCAGCTCCAGGTCGAGCTGTCGTTCAGCATCTTAGCTGTAGAGGGCAGTGTCACTGGCCCTCATATGTGGGATCCGAACCGGGGCCCTCTGGTGTCCCAAACCAGTTCTTAACCATCGTGCCACTCGGCCGGCCCCCGGCACCTAAATTCTTAATGGTCCCAGTGGTTAGCCTGTATTACAAGTATGTTGTTCTTCACCATTCTGTTCACAGTTCTCACTGTTGTTTTCTACTAAAAGTCAGAATTATAAAGCGATTTGTATTATCTTTAGCATTCTTTTAATTTATAAGTTTTTGATACCAAAACATTTTCTGAAACCTAGAGAGTTCATAATTATTCACTATTTATTTTGTGGGGGATGGTTTTAGAGAAATAGGCACACATGGTGAAGAAGTATGTGAGTAAAGATAAAAATTTACAAATTGAAAATGTTTCTCCTACTTTATAAATGCTTTCATTTGAATAATTTTCCATTCTTTTATGGCAGGTAAGGCATTTAGTATTCACCTAACATGAAGGGTATGCAAGAATCTATATTTTATAGTTCCCTCTCAGTGCCTTCTGAATGATTTTTCAGGTGATATCTGGTTATCCAGATATTTGATTAATCTGATACTTGGATTAATGACTTCATATTTTATTCTATTACATTTATCTCTCTAATGTAATTAATCCAGCTATTCATAATTTATAGAGACAGCATAAGATACATATTTTACTTCAAATTGCAGTAACTATTAAGACTTTACTTTCTACAATTTTTTTCACATTTATTTTTATTTAGAAAGGACTAAAATAATTGTATATAACAGAAGTAATATAAACATTAAGATTAATCTAAATTAGCCAACTCAATGCATATTCATTAATGGATTAATGGTTTCTGTAGTAAGTGTAACTTTATTTTGTGTGCATGGAAAAAATATGGAATAATTAATTCCAGAACATAATAGCAGAACACTAGCATAGGTCCTGAGACTCATGCCTTAATTTGTTTTTTTTTGCCTTTAGTATGCTGTTCTCAGTTTTCAAATGCCACAAACTTTTTTACAGTGACATGACTTCTGTTAGAGACTCTTCTTTCTCTTCCATTATCAAAATATGAACATATTCTCAACATTATTTGTCATTAAGGGAATGCAAAGTAAAATTGTATTTCCCAACTACTTGAATGATTAAAATAAAAGGAGATAGTAACAGTTGTTGGTGAGAATGTGAAGAAACAAGAATCCTCATGTGTTGCTGGTGGGAATATAAAAAGGTGCAGCCTCCTTGGAAAACAGTTTGTCAGTTTCTTAAAATGTTAACGTAAATTTACCATACTCCCAAGAGAAATGAAAACATATACAGTAAAACCTTGGATTGAGAGTAATGTGGTTTGCAAGTGTTCCGCAAGACAAGCAAACATTTCTAATACATTTTAACATGGTAAACTAGCGATGTCTTGCAATACGAGTAGCTTGTTTCTGGAACACATTATGCTCGCAAACCAAGGTATTACTGTACATCTACACGAAGACTTGCACACAAATGTTCTTAGCAGCTTTATTCATAATTTCCAGAAATTGGAAACAACCTAAGTAAGTGCCCATCAACTTGTGAACAGATAGACAAAATGTGGTATATCCATACAATGGAATATTATTGAACAGTAAAAAGAAATGAAGTACTGATACATGCTGCACACGGATGAGCTTCAAAACATGCTAAATATAAAAAGCAAAACATGAGAGACCACATAGTGTATGGTTGTATGTATATGAAACATCTAAAAAAGGTAAATATATAGAGACAGATTGGTGCTTGGGACAGGAGAGGGGAGCAGAGATTAGCAGTGAACAGGCATGATCTAATTGAAGTGATGAAAATGTTCCAAAACTATTTTATGGTAATGGTTGCACAACTTGGTAAATTTACTAAAAACTATTGAATTGTGTACTTGAAATGGTGAATTATATTATGTGCAAAATATACCTCATATTATCAAAAGCAATATTATTAAAAGGATAATATATTATAACCAGGAAGGTCTTTTTCCAGGAATACAAGAATGGTTGAGTATCAGGAAATCAGTCAAAGTAATTATTAATTATATCAATAACTTAAAGGAGAAAAGGCCATATATAATCATATCAATAGATGTATAAAAGGTATTTGGAAAAAATGTAGCAATCATCCTTAATTTTAAAACTCTGAAGTAAAATATGTAGAGAAGAACACAAACTAAATGTAATAAAGATAGATTACTAAATACTACAGCCACTAGTAGCCTAAATAGTGAAACACTAAAACCATATCAATTCAAACCAGAAATAGGAATACTCTATATCACTGCAATTATTTAACATTGCTTTGAAGGTTTTAGCAATTATAATAATAAAATAAAAATGAAATAACTGGCATACACATTAGGAAAAGATGTCAACTCTCCCTATTTGGTGATGATTATGATTGTATGCCTAATAGTGAGAGTTTGGAAGGGAATGTGGTAAAGTAGTAAGTTATAATGCAAATATACAATAATAAATGCATTTATCTCTCTTCCATTAAAAACATATGCACAATGGAAATTTAAAAATCAATTTCTAAAAGCAATAAAAAATAGGAATATATTTAATAAAAGAAAGGCATAAGACCTACAGGAAGAAAGCTATATAACAAATGGAAAGGCTTCTTGAACAAAAAGACTTAATATCATAAAAATTAAGTCCTCCTAAAATTAATAAATAAACAATGCAGTTCCTGTTACAACAGGATCACGATGGTGAAAGGGAATTAGATAAATTTATCTTAAGTTTATATGGAAAGTAAAGACACTTAAAACAGTCAAGAAAACTATGAAAATGAACAGTAAGGGTAGATTCATATCAAATAATCAGAAATGCTATAAAGACACTATAAAAATATGGTGTTAGACTAGGAATACACAAATAAGATCAATGGAACAGAGTAAAGAATCAAAAAACAGATCTCATATAGCGTGAGATCTATTTGATGAGAATGTAATGTATGACCAAGGTTCAATTCAGTTAGAAGTGAAGGAGATTATTTCATAAATAGTGCTCATACAGAACTGTCTATCCATCTAGAAGAAAGTAAAAATATTCTTCAACTCATACTCTATTTAAAAATTAATTACACATGAATCAATAGCCTAAATGGAAAAAATAAAGCAATAAAGGAGTAGGGAGGGAGACAGAGAAACAAGTACAAAGGGAAAAGAAATGCATTTTTTAAAGGACAGGTATAACCATATTTATGCATTTACATAAAACTACATAACTAAAAAAGTAGGATTCAGGGAAGTGCAAGGAATTTTAATTATTTTAGAATAATCACCAGAGTTCTTTGCCTCTTAAGAAATTGGTAGATTTTGTTTTGCCATTGTTCTTTGAGCACTGTTTACAGAGGACAGGTAAATGCAGTCTAGTTCGTCAACTTGTAATCATTTTTCAGGTAAAATATTTATAATTAAGAAAGTAAAATGATTTATTTTAGAAAATCTGGAAAATATAGAAAAGTAGTAAAAGAGATTATTAAAAAGGCACTAGTTTCCCCAATACCCAGAGATAACCACGGTTAAGATTTTAGTACATACCACTTACCTGTCACAGTTTTTGTTTTTCAATGAAATTTAAAATGTAAATCTTGTAAATCTTGCACATTTTACTTAAAGATAGGTGTCCTGACTTTTTTTTTAAATGAGATTATTTCCCTTTGTGAATGCTATAGTGTATTCTTTTACCCTTACTATTTTCTTAGTCGTTCAGTATACATGCTCACTTTTTTTTATAGTTCCTGGCAGACATGGAAAATAATGCCCTTTTTCGGGATGATATAGAATGTCAGAAACTCATTATGGAAGCAATGAAATATCATTTATTACCAGAGAGACGACCCATGTTACAAAGTCCTCGGACAAAACCTAGGAAGTCAACTGTTGGTACATTATTTGCTGTTGGAGGAATGGATTCAACCAAAGGTATTAAATATCTATTATTTGGGGGAAACAGAAAAAAAAGAACTTTAATTATTTTAATTAATTTAATTTAATTTAATTTAATTTATTTAAGTAATAAATAGAGCCAAAGAGCTCTTTGGAGAAATGGCTGGTTTTTGCACTGGGGTGGAAAAAGTACAAGATAAGCCTAGAACATCTTGTAGAACCAGAAAGTAAGGAAGTGCTCAGAGAATGATGGAGACAGGTCAAAGAACACAGTTTGTAGGGGCTACCACTGTCCAAATCTGGGATAATTTCAGCATCAAATAAATAATGATAGTAAAAGATTATAACCTATTAAATCAGTAAGTATTCATGAGTCCACACTGATTCAAATAAATAAGGGAGGAGGGAAAGCTCCTCCTTAAAGTAATGTCAGCTAATAAATGTAGAAGCAAAGATGGGGTTAGAAAAATCACCATTTGGCAACTATCATGATAATAACTAATTCAGTCAAGAATCATCAATGGATACTGAGACTAGTGGCTAAAAGTTTTCAGAACAGGGTATTTAATCTCGAGTATCTCCCAACCACTTGCTTATTAGTGACAAAGGGTAAAAGAGTATGTTTACAGTTGAGAAACCTGGCATACAGCACCTTAACCAAATAATCAAAGGCCATATCAGCCATAATTAGACTAACCAGCAGCATGTGCATTTTATAAGATGCGCAGAGAGGAACTCAGCTTCACATCTGCAGTATTTCTGCAAAGTATATAACCTGAATTTAATCATGAGGAAAAGACAAATCCAAGTTGAGAGACATAGTACAAAATAATTTGTCCACACCAGCCAAGTGGCTCAGTTGGTTAAGAGTTCACTCAAGAGTGTGAGCTCTGAGCAACAGGGTCGCCAGTTTGATTCCCGGCCTGAGCTGAGCTGCCAACAGCTGCCAACAGGTGGCAGGATGGCTCAGCTAAAAATAAAATAAAATAATAATAATTTGTCCATCTGTAGTATTCCAAAATGTCAAGAAATACAGAAAAGATTTAGGAACTGTTTCAGATTACAAGAGACTAAAGAGACATGAAAGCTATTACAATGCATCATCTTGGATTTTTTTTGCTGTAAAGGACATAATAGGGACAAATGATGAAATCCAAATAACATCTGTAGATTAGATAACAGCATTGTATAAATGTTAATTTCCAGATTTTGATGATTGTATTGTAGTTTTGTAAGAGAATTGTTTTGAAGAAGATACACTGAAGTAATAGGGATATAGGGACATCATTTCTGCAACTTACTCTTACAATAGTTCAGAAAAAACATACATATGAGTACATATGCGTACATGCATGCATGCATGCATACATACATACACACATAGAAAGAAAATGTGGTAACATGTAAACATTTCGGAAATCTGGGTCAAGGTTATGAGGAATTTTTTGTACCGTTCTTGCAACGATCATTATTAATAGTAACACTAATAGTGGCAAACGCCATACTTACCGCCTACCCCTTGCCAGGTATTGTGCTAGAAGCTTTCTGCGTATCCCCTCTCAGTATATGTTGATCTCCGCTTCCTCTGAATTCCTAGTACTAACAATCTGCAATCTTCTGACCACACCGCTCTGACTTTGACTCCTCTAATCTCAGCTCGTTCTACTTCTCCCCTCCCTCCTTCTGTTCCAGCCCCATTGGCCTCCTTGTTTGTCTAACACACCAAATGTTATCCTTCTTCAGGGATATTGTGTTGGCTGTTTGCTCCCTCTAGGATGGTCTGTGCCTTGATATCGGAATGCCTAGCAGAAAGTGTTCACTCAGATCTGCTCTCAAATTCAGTTTACCAGAGAGGATTTTTATGACCATCCAACCTCTTATCCATCACTTTCTGATCTTTTACCTACAACTCTTTACTCCGCTTCATGTTTCTTCATAGCACCTGTTACATTTATTTATGGCTTGTCTACCTCTTCACTCCAAATAAATTCCAGGACAGCAAGGACTTTTGTTTTATTCGCTAATGTATTCCCAGAGCCTGGAACAGTGCCTACACATAGACAGCATCAATAAGTATTTGTCAAATGAATGAAGATTGCCCTCTGCCATCTCTTGAATTACATGTATGACTAAAGCACTTGGTGCATTAATCATGTCTAAAGGTTTCTCTTCCATGTGGTGTCTCTAAGGAATATAAAAATATGAACTCTAATCTGGCCCTGTGGCTTAACCAACTTTATTTCGGAGTCTTTCTAATAATCCAAAACTCGTACCTTTTATCCTATTCAAGCTATTTTCAAGCCTTATCTCATTCCCAGTGTCTTTATAATGAAGAGCAATTTGTGTTAGTTGAATGGTAGTCTGATCATGGGGTTCTTGACCCCTTCATGTATCTGTTTAGTATAGAGCCCAAAAAGAAGCTGGGACATGTTCTAAATACCAGCTAAGAAAGTGTTAGATTATATTTGAAACTACCTTTTTTTAAAGGTTAATCTTTTGGTATAAATTAGGGGAGTTTCAAGTTTTTACACAGAATTTTGTAGTTATTAGGATTGTGTTATTTTTGATATACGTATTCTAAGATATATGTTTCACACTATGTTTTAAGATTTTATGTTATAAGAATTGTTTGATATTAGCAAAATACATGTTAGTTACCAATTCATAAGACTGTGATACTGCTTAGTGAACTAGATGTCAAAGAAATCACTTAAAATTCAAGTGAAAAAAAATATTCCTTAAATTCGCTAGTGAGGAGAGATGATTGGCATTGCATTTTTATTTGAGGGAGAAGTTTTTAAGATCAAATTTAGAGTGATGAGTCAAGTATATTGTTAGACAAAATAATCTGAATGTATGAGTAAAATCTGAATGTATAGCTAAAAATCATAAAGATTATCAAAATTCAAAAATATTTTTAAACAGCTACTATGTACAAGGGAATCTATCATATGGTGCTATGAGGATACAGAGATGGAAAAAGACTTGGTATTTATTTTGAATAACTTAAAATTTTTGCAGGGTGAATAAAAAATAATAAAAACTACAATAATGAGAAAATACGATTATATGGCAAAACTATTTCTAAATTTTGGGAGATTATCAGTAGTATTAGTGGTCTGATGACCTAATTGTAACAAATATTTTAGAATAAATGTTTGTCCTGATTGTAATTCTATAAGAATAGTACTGATTGTATGTTGTATTAGAAGCTAAGTAGACAGGAATTGAACTCTTCTTCATAACTAGGGTTTGGGATTTTTTTTTTAGAGGGGTGGGGCTTTTTTTCCCCTTAATCCCATGATGTAAAGAGAACAAGAGTTCTTTGAATCTTGAGTGATTTTTAAAAATGTAGACACCATCAGGCAGTTACTCCCTAAACTCCCCACCCTCAGTTCCCAGAGCCATGATCCACACTTATGCTGTTCTCTTCCTTGCTGCACTAGAATGTGTATCTCCTCTCTCCTCCTGTGAAAGCCAGCCCCTCCGCCTGTGCCCTGACACTGCCCTTTCCTGCCTCTCAGGAACCTAACATTATTTGTTAGATCCTTCCATCTCCTGTATTTCCAGCTTCTTTCCTCACATCTAGATCCTTCCCATTAGCATTTAAGAAAACTCATTTTTCCAATTTTAAAAGCCAAACAAGGCAAAACCTCCTTCAAACCACCTAGAAATTCCTCTCTTTCTCCTCCTTTTTTGTAGCCAAGCTTCTCAGAAGAATCTCCTGGGCTCCCTGATGATTCTCCATTTTTTCACCTCCCAATTATGTCTCAACCACTCAAACGGGACTCTCCTTAAAGTCACCACTGACTTCCATGTAGCTAAATCTAGGAATGCTTCATCTTGCTTGACCCTCTCAGTAGCATTTGATACCGTTAGTAGTTCTACCTGCTATAAACTGTTTTTCCTACAGCTTCCATGACACTAAACTTCCCTGGGTTTCCTCACACCCGTGCTATTGCTTCTCAGCCTTCTCTGACAGATAATTCTTTTTCATTTGATCTTTTAATGCGGGAGCCTGTATGCCCTGGAGAATGTTAGCAGACGATATCAGAGATATAAGCAGGGGCCAGATTGTGTAGGAATTCGCCAAAATATAATACAAGTATTATTGTCAGTGCTAATAAAATTATACTTTGTATGTATAATTTCATAAAATGCTCAATCATGGCAAATTTTTTATTTACTTAACTTTTATATATTACCATTAAGGAGCAACAAGCATTGAAAAGTATGATCTCCGTACCAATATGTGGACTCCTGTAGCAAATATGAATGGGCGAAGGCTACAGTTCGGTGTTGCAGTGTTAGATGACAAGCTGTATGTGGTTGGAGGGAGAGATGGACTGAAGACTCTGAATACTGTAGAGTGCTACAACCCCAAAACAAAAACTTGGAGTGTGATGCCTCCTATGTCCACACATAGGCACGGCCTTGGTGAGTATAGCTAGACTTGTTCATAACATTATATATTAGGCTTCCACAGCATTTTCACATTCTGTACTAGGCAGAGGAAGACCAGTGTGGCAGCTGCTGAGTCAGCAGCAGTCACCAAGCTTTCCTTTCCATGCTCTCTGAGAGGTAGTAGCAGCAGAAGAAACAAGCATAGACATAAATGTATGTGTACAACTAGCACAAGTGAAAACAATTGTATTTTAGTGTGGCATGATGGCCTGATAAGCTGCCTTTACACATGTGTGTTCTGTGTTGACAATTAGTATTATCTAACCTAATTGAAATGCTTATTTAAAAATCTTTAGCATTACTGTTTTTCATCTGTATCCGATGGTTTTTAAGCAGAAATGAGTAAAACCCAGAAAAATTTGGAGGTGACGCAGAGAATGTAATGATAGAGACTTTTCATTTTTGCATTCAGTAATTCCCTGAGCAGACATTGATTAGCATGTACTATGTGCCGTGCTTTTTGCTCTGTAGATATGCAAAAATGTGGAAGACACTTATCTTTCCCCTCAAAACTGATGGCTCACTCTGAGACGATAGAAGAGAACTTAGGGATCTTGTATCAGATGATCTCTCTTTTCTCATAGGAGAAAGAATAGGTAAAGTAGAAAGCATTGTTTGGTGAGAGAGGCGGTGGAAATTAAAATTAGATGGGGCTTGATAGATATTTGCATCACCCAGCTTTTGCTGCATAACAAAGTACAGTAATACCTTGGTTTGCGAACATAATTCGTTCCAGAACTACTCATAATACAAGACAGTGCTCGTTTACCACATTAAAATGTATTAAAAATGTTCACTCGTCTTGCAGAACACTTGCAAACCACGTTACTCGCAATCCAAGGTTTTACTGTACTCTGAAACTTAGAGGCTTAAACCAATAACCATTTTTTTAACTCATGGATCTGTTGGTTAGGCTGTTCTGGTCTGGGCTCTCTTGGATGATTTCTGCTGGGTTTTCTCATGATCCTGTGGTAGGTTGGCAGGTTGGCTGGTTGATGTAGGATGGCCTCACTCACATGTATAGTGGGAGGCAGGTTGTTGGCCTGGGCAATACGGACACCTGGGCCAAAGCCTCTCATCCATCAGCAGGCTCGCCCAGGCTTCTTCACATGGTGGCAGTCAGGGTTTCCAAAGCAGCAGGAGAAGGCAAGCCCTGGGCACAAACACTTCCAAGCTTCTACTTGCATCATGTTTGCTAACATCCCACTGACACAAGCAAGTCACATGGGCGAGCCCAGATTCAGAGTAGGGAAATGGACTCCTCCTCTTAATGGGAGGAGCTGCAGAGTCGCATTGCAAATCAGCGCATTTAGGAGTAGGGAGAATTTGTAGCCATATTGTCAGTTTATCACAGTTTGGAAAAGGTTTTAAAAACAGTTGCAATAAAAAATTATGATAGGCCTTCATAAAAGATAAATTGAAAAATGGTTGAGTAACAGTGAAGGCATAGTTGAGTTTAGATAGCATAGCTTTGTAACTATACTCAATTTATTAACAGTGAACACCAGAGCAGTGGCTACCCCAAACAGCCAGCGAAAATGATCTAGGCATGAAGATTGGTTTTGGTAGTAAGAACAGTCAAAGATCAAAGAGACAAGGAATTCTATTAGTTCCAATTAGGTTTCAGAGAAAGGTGATCTTGTTTCAGGTTTGGTAAGGAAGGAAAACCAGAGGTTTAGGGTTAAGGTGCAGAGAGAGGAGCTTAAAATTAACTAGGTGAAATTTAACAAAGAACACTATAAAACATTACTCTTGAGTCCATAAAATAATCTATTACATGGGCACAGAATGGGAAGATATATCCTAAAAACAGCATGAATGAGACTTAAAATATGGGTTGACCATAAAATTCAGGGTCAATACTGTGATTCAACAGCAAACTTTCCCCTACCATAAGGAAAAGAAACTTAATTCTAACTTAAGGTAAATTCTTATTGATTTGGTACACAGAATGAGAATGCCCATGATCCAGCTATGTTTTGTGTGGATTAGACTGTGCATGGAATGCTATCATTAGCTCTAGATACCTTACCAAAGACTACTGAACAGCATCAAGTTCAAAGAATAATCATACGGCCCAAGTGTCTTCATTAAGCTTCATTTCAAATTTCTGTGTCATTCAAAACAGCCTTCTTCTTACTCATCTTATAATAAATAATGTTTTAAACTTGAACTTATAAATCTTTGTGTGAGAAAGACTTCTTTTATCTCTTTATATGTAGGAATTATATGAAGACTTCATTTGAAAAAGTAGTTCTCCTGCTAAAATTTATATTGTGTAAGGGGTTGGACTAGATGGATCCATTACTTTTTCTTCCAGCCCTTTGATTACTTACACACACGCCCACACTCACACCCACCCCACACTCACATGTATCAATTGCTCCAGTGATATATACTATATATCCAAGTGTGTGTGTGTGTGTGTCTACAGTAGCCAATACTGGTAGGGCACAAATGAGTGGAATGATATGTTTGCTTGGGTCATATATGAATAATGAATATGTATACCTCATCTGGCCATAATTTCTCAAATTAAAATATATTTGTATCACAAAATTTGTATTTTGGCCCTCAAGTGTTTCATATTTATGTCTTACCTGACTATGATCATGTCATACCTCTTCTTAAAACCCTCTACTGGCTCTCCGTCTCATGTAGGATAAAACGTAAAGTCCCGATAAGAGCCCCACACTCTGCATGATCTGACGCCACACTCTCCTTCGTCTCCTACTCATCCCCCTCATCACCCTGCCAGCGGAGCTGGCCTCTTGCTGTACCGCAGACACACTAAGCATGCCTCGGGGTCTTTGGACATCTGTTCCCTTTACCTCATCTTCTCTTCCCACAGGTATCTCCGTATCTGGTTTCCTAACTTCATTCACATTTTTGTTCAAATGTCACTTTATCTGAGAGGTCTCCCCGGACCCTTTCTACCCTTTTAGTCAGTTTATTTTCCTTGTTAGCCCTTACCAATACCTGAACTATATTTTCTTTCTGTTTGTTGACTGAAATATCAGGTCCATGAGGGCAGAGCCCTTATGTATTATGATCTGTTAAGTACCAGGCATTCAGTAGAAACTTAATAGGTATTTGTTGAATAAATGAAGAAATAAGTCTGGCTCTGTTCCCTGGTGATGAATCACATCAATAGATTGTGGTATCAAATCTAACTACAGTAAAACCTCATGAATTTGAATTAATAGGGGGAAAAGAATAAAAACGCTTTTTCAAATGTATCTTAAATCCATATTGTTGAAAAATGTTTTAAGTATGGCAATACGTACATCTTGTGTAGTTTTTAGTTTTCCACTCTTAGACCACAAAGTACTGTCTCTCAAACTTTTAAGACCAGAGCTACAGTGCTGTCTCATTCCTTCACTCACCAACCTGTCTACCAAGATGAGCCACGAGGAAGCCAGATATCTATGTCATAATTTTTTGCTTCATTATAGTTGCATGTTTAAGGTTCATTGTATTTATATTTCAAGTAAAATGTGATTTTTAAGTCATTACTTCTTTCCTGTCTCCTTGTAGGTGTGGCTGTATTGGAAGGTCCCATGTATGCAGTCGGAGGGCATGATGGCTGGAGCTACCTGAATACAGTGGAAAGGTGGGACCCTCAGGCCCGCCAGTGGAATTTTGTTGCCACTATGTCCACCCCCAGGAGCACAGTAGGTGTGGCAGTACTGAGTGGAAAGTAAGAAAATATTTAAAGCTCCATATAAAACACAACAAAGTAAATTTGCGAAGCGGAATCGTTTCTAACTTTTATTTATTTATACATATATAAATCACAAAAGAGAAATACTTTGATATAAACAAACTTTTAAAATCGTTTCTTTCTATAATAGTTCTAAATATAAATAGCTGGACAGTAACTTAGACTTTCATTCTAACCTGCAGATATTATACATTTCTAGTTATTTTCAGTGAAGAAATGTTCAATATAGTAAAAATCTGGTGCATTATATAGCTTTAAAAGTATATGGTCTTTTAAAAATAGTATAGTCTCTCAATGTTTCCCTAAATAATTCCCTCCATGTCTTTTACTGATTTATCTTTACTTTTACTTCTTCCTTACCTCAATAAACTGCTGAAAACGAGAATGAATTTAGAAAGAGGTGCTCACTTGCCTGATGTCTGCTCTAAATAGAGTAAATAAAATTGGACAGAGCTATCGACAAAGCTCTTAGTAACTCAGAAACTAAATATGTATCTTTTTCAGGCCTTTCTTGCATAAAAGGAAGTCCTATGTGGTTATTAAAGTTGTTTGTTGCATCTCTTTATTTACTTAAAAGGCTTAAAATCGTTTCCAGAAAGAGAAAGGAATCAAGATTAAAATACAGACTTAAAATTATTTATAAAATTGTGTTATTATTAAAAGAAAAATGAGAAACTATTGGTAATATTTTATGACCTAAGGTCTTGTTTTTTCAGGACTTATTAGTTGTATCCAACTTTTTATTTTTTAGCACTATTATAAGTGATAAGAGAAATAGAAATTCATTTTTTAAATGTATCTGTTCTCTATACGCCTACCCTCATTTGTTTTAGCTAAAGAAATAACTTCAAAATTCATCAATACATATCTTTCCTAATTCTTTGGCAAAGGAGTCAGCCTCTGAAGAATCTAGTAAGTGAGAAAAAAGAAAGAAAACTAAACAGTATCTCCTCAGTTTTGACCCTTTGGTTTAAACTTTTGGGATTAGTTCATTGTACTAATTCTTGTTCAGTGGTATATTTCTTAGCCCTTATTTCTGGCTAGAAATATTTACTTCTAAAAAAGGACAAAAGAATAACTGCCTTCTTTAAAATCTGATTTCCAGACCTACAGTAGCCTGGACTTGTAATCATAAAAATATCTTATTTTCTTACCTTTTCTTGCTCTCTTATTAGAAATAAACATTTCAGTCTTTAACCCACCTAAAGTACAATTTATCGAGTTCTGAGACAACCTAAGAATCATATCAGAAGCTAAGGATGTCTTATTTACTAAATATTAAGATATTTGATTTTGAAAGTATAATATATCTACACTGTGATTGTAACTGGTCTTTTGGGATATCTCCCAAACTGGTCACTTTGCCCTTAACCTTAACTCGCTCTGTTTCATCTTTCATTTTAGAGATTTACCTAGTGTTCTGCCTAAAATACAAATAGGACCACGTCACTTTTCTGCTTAAAACCTCTCAGCAGCTTATCTGACCAAGCCTCCTTTATGATCTTGCCTCTGTCCACATCTCTAGACTCCTCTCTCCTCTACTAGTGCATATTACATTCCAGCAGAACTAACCTATTTGTGAAAAATACATTTCGCCTCACACTCTTATTATCTGTTAATCCACGCCATCTCTCTTAGAATGTTGTTTCCCCCACTTTCCTACCTGGCAACCTCAGCATCCTTGAAACTTGTTCAAAAACCACCTCCAGAAAACCTTCTCCAAATCCCACTCCCTCCTCCTCATTCCCCCTCTGCCCATTGTCCATTCCAGCCTTAGCATTTTTACTGTGCATAATTTGGGTATAATTGTATTGCAGCATGTGCCACTCTCTTATTGTAGTTATTTTCTAGTCCATTGCCTATAGTAGATCATGGTCTTGCGTGACCTGGCAGACTGTTTGTTCCTTACATCTAGCACAGTACCTGGCACGTAATGTGAAGTGTGCAACCTTATTGAAGAATATCTTGCTACCACTTAGATGCAGTGGTGCCTTAATCACCCCAGGAAGAGTATGTGTTAATTCATCAGCCAGCAATTTCTGAGCTTGCTTTAACAATGTAGCAATGTTTTAAACTATTTTGTTGGTTTCCATTTTTAGGTACGTATCCAGAATCTGGAAAAAAAAATAGAAGCTATGTTGTTAGTAAAAAAAAAAATATGCAGTTGATTGAAAAAAATTAATTATGCATCTTCTCTCTACCACTCCTTTGTGATTTAGAACAAATCATTTCTCTGTGCCTCAATGTTTCTAATCTATGAAATGAAAAGCCTGGATTAATTTTGTGTTATTTTAACTTACTTTACAATGCTTCTTGCTGCAAAATATAGTTGTCTCTTTAGGGAAGAATGATTTCAATGTCTTATTGAGTTACATTCTGTGTCTTAAAAATTTTAAAGTGTTAAAATTTTATTTCTACGATGTTTGACAGAAAGAAACTTTATTTAGACTTCCAATTGCTCAGGCTACACTTAAGCCACTAGCTGACAAATATTTCTGTCAGTAGAATCTCTCTTTCAAATGACATCTTATAAAAACCTCAACACTTAAGGCAAATAGAGGTTCAATTTTATTATAAGTTTATTTTAAATGTATTATAAGTTTGAGTTTATGGTATTTGCTTATTATAAAAATCAATGTAGAGGGCCGGCCGAGTGGCGCGATGGTTAAGAACT